ATTACTGTCTGTTTCAGCCCTCATTATCTCCCCATGGATAGCTTATCTTCTACCATTCCTATTAAGGTATCTACTGCGGTCTCCACCAAACCTGTGACTATTCCAAGTACTGATTTTTCTCTTTCCCATCACTCCTATTCATCGTATTACAAATGTGGTGTTGAATGGGAAAAATTTTGCTGCTTGGAGCTATTCCCTTAAACTCTACCTTGGAGGAAAGGGAAAAGCCCATTGGCTTTTATCTACTATTACCCCGCCAGCTGCGACAAACCCTACATGTGCTCAGTGGGATATCAATAACTGCACTATATTGGGATGGATGTTCAATTCCATGGAAGATCGAATTTATCATATGTTCCTTTATTGTGATATAGTTCCGAGTTTGTGGCAGGCATTGTCACAGATGTACGCTTATGTTCACAATGATGCACGTATCTTCGAGCTTTACCAAGATATAGCCTAGGCCTCTCAGTCCTCTCTTAGCCTTTCTGTAGCTAAATTCTTTGGCTATCTTCAGGTTCGTTGGGAGGAACTTGCTCAATATGAGCCTTTGACAGACCTTCCACCAAAAGCCGCCTCCCTTGTGTTCAAAAGGCTTGCCTGACAACACACTTATCGGTTTGTCGTGTGTTTAAACTCTGAATTTGAATCTCTTCGAATTCAGATTCTCAACACATCACCCATGCCATCTTTTTATGAGGCTTTTGCCACTATTGACGATGATGAGCGTCGCCGGCGATTGGTTCAGCCTAGTGTTCCTTCAGAACCTCCAGTTTTAGCAAATCAGATGGCTCTTACTGCGAGTTCTGGTTCTCGAAGTTCCACCGGCTCTATTACTTGTCATCATTGTGGTGCGCCTGGACATGTCAAAGCTTGTTGCTTCAAACTTCATCCTGAGTTAAGGCAACGCCCTTCCTGACCTCATGGTCCTGTTACACGTAGTCCTGGCTCTGCTCGCACTATTGCTTTGGTGGAAGTTACTCCTGCTTTTGAGCCTCCTAATGTCCCTAATCCACAGCAATTATAGACTCAAATTGGTCAGCTTCGGGCCCATCTTAGGTCTCTCACCACTGGTTCTCTTGGTCCATCATCCTCTACTGCCACCCTTGCTATAGGTACTTCTACTGCTTTCCATGTTCGGTCTGCTAATCCTTCATGGATTCTGGATTCTGGATTCTGGGGTTAATGATCATATGACTGGTGAGTTTTCTTTTCTTTCATCTCCTGCACCCACCATTGTTGCCCAATCTGTATGTCTTATTGATGGTTCTTGCTCTTCTGTCCAACATAAGGGTGTTGTGTCCTTATCCCCTGATATCACTTTGTTTTCTGTGTTGCATGTTCCCAACTTTGCTTATAATCTCTTATCTATTAGTCGTCTTGTCAAAACCTTTAATTGCGCCATCATCTTCTTACCTTCATCGTGTCTTTTACAGGGCCTGAGTTCGAAGAGGATTTTTGGCAGGGGATATGAGCGCGATAGGCTATGCTACTTTGGGGATCCACCAAACCAACCTTCTTTGCTTTTAGCTAGTTTTCAGGCGTCTGTTTTGCCTACTTCTATAACTTATGTTTTTTCTGTTCAAGCTTTAGAGTTATGGCAATCCCGTATGGGTCATGTTAACTTTCAATATTTATGTCAACTTTTTCCGTTATTAAATAAAGCTTACAAGGATTCTAAATTTCATTGTGTTACTTGTGAGTTGTCTAAACATATCCGTACTAGTTACATACCACATATGACACGTGCCCCTAGTGCTTTTGTCCTTATCTAATCTGATGTTTGGGGTCCCTCTCTTGTTCTTGCTTTTTCGGGTTATCATTATTATGTGACTTTTATTGATGATCACACTACGTGCACTTGGGTCTATTTTTGCAAATGGTTAAGACACAATTTCGTATCAATGTTAGGAACATCCGCTCTGATAATGGTGGGGAATACATCTCCAATGAGTTTCGTTCTCATCTTAATTGAACGAGTATTCTTCAACAACTTACATGTCCTCGGACCCCTAAACAAAATGGTGTGGCTAAACGTAAAAGCCGTCCTATTATGTCTGTCGTGCGTTGTCATCTTCGTGGTATGAGTGTGCCCAAGTCTTATTGGCACATGCCTGTTCTTAGTGTTGTCTATCTCATTAATAGGACTCCTAATCGTGTGTTACATGGCCTTACTCCATTCCATATTCTTATGCCTAATACTACCATTTTTCCTCTTTTGCCTCATGTTTTTGGGTGTACATGTTTTGTTCAGGACCGGCGTTCCACTTGCACTAAGTTAAATAACAAGTCTATTCGTTGGGTCTTTTTGGGGTATTCTTCCATGTCTAAAGGGTATAGATGTTTTGATCCTGTGTCTCGTCATTTTTACCATACTCTGGATGTTACTTTTTGTGAGGATCTTCCTTTTTTTAGTCCTAACCCCCTGTTGCAGGTTTCCCCTTCAGCTACTCAAAGTGTTCGCCCGGTCCACATTTTGGATTTGGATGCGGTTGCGGATGAGGTTGCCCCCCCTCTCATCCTCCACCCTCCTTCCGCCTGCATGCTCAGCCCCCTCCTGCCATCTCTCTGGACCTCGGGTAAGGTAATTCTTCTCTTTTACATACCTTTCCTTCCCTTCCTCGTCATAATCCTCCTCGAGATCGCCATCCCCCCAATCGCTGGGGTTATCTGTGTAGTACTAATCATCCCATTTCCCAGTATCTCTCATATGACAAGGTTTCCGACTCATATCATTCTTTCCTTGGCAAGCTTGAGTCCGAGTCTATTCCTCAGTCTATGTCAGAGGCCCTTCAGAATCCAAAATGGATGGCGGCAATGCAAACTGAAATGGCAGCTTTAGAACAGAATCATACTTGGAATTTGGTTCCTTTACCTTCTGGCGAGAGTACCGTGGGTTGCAAATGAGTCTTTGCTATTAAGTACCTACCTGATGGCTCCGTTGACTGTTATAAGGCCCGTTTAGTGGCCAAAGGCTTCACTCAAGTTCCCGGCAAGGATTTTGGTGCTATCTTTACACCGGTTGCCAAGCTTACCTCTGTTCGTCTACTCATCTCTCTTGCAGCATCCCATTCTTGGCCCCTTTATCAGCTTGATGTCGAGAATGTCTTTTTGCATGGGGATCTTCTTGAGACGATTTATATGGGCCCTCCTCCTGGTTTTCGAGCTGTGGGGGAGTATTCGAGACAAGTATGTCGACTGTACAAGTCTTTGTAGGGCTTAAAGCAGTCTCCACAAGCTTGGTTTGGTCGTTTCAGCTTAGTCATCCTCTCCATGGACTTTGTTCAATGCCATTCAGACCATACTTGCTTCATTTGTCGTAATTCTGCAGGGCAGTGTATAGCCTTGTTGATGTATGTGGATGATATCATGCTCACTGGTAATGACTATAGGCATTGATCAAGTAAAACGGAATTTGGGACACACTTTTGATATTAAGGATTCAGGGAATCTCAAGTATTTTCTGGGGATTGAGGTGGCTCGCTCACAGCAAGGGATTTCCTTATCTCAAAGGAAGTATACTCTTGACTTTACTTAAGGATACTAATATGATGGGGTGTAAACCTGCTTCCACTCCTATGGATCCCGATGTCAAGCTCACATCAGAGTCCGGCGAATTACTAGAGGATCCAGGTATGTATCAGCGTCTTGTTGGGCGTCTTATCTATCTGATCAATACTAGACCTGACTTGACATTTGCAGTTAGTGTGGTTAGCCAATTCATGCATGCACCTCGTACAGAACATCGTGATGCGGTTCATCACATCTTTTGAAGACCTCTCCTAGCTTGGGATTGTTCTTCACAGCTAATCCTCAATCTAGACTCTCCTGTTTTACTAATGCTAACTATGCAGAATCTAGAACGGATAGGAGTTCTACTTCTGACTTCTGTACTTTCTATGGTGATCATCTTATATCATGTAAAAGTAAGAAGCAAGCAGTTGGTTCTAGGTCTTCTGCAAAAGCTGAGTATAGGACTATGACACAAGGCACTTGTGAAATTCTATGGTTGCGTTCTATTTTTGCAGAGTTAGGATTTAAGGAGACTGCTCTTGCTTCTTTATTTAGTGACAACAAGTCTGCTATTATGTTGTCTTCTGATTCTGCCCTACATGAGCGTACTAAGCATATAGAGGTTGATATACATTTCATTTGAGAGAAGGTTCGGATTGGTATTGTGAGACCATTCTTTGTCTCTTCTTCTCAGCAGTTAGCAGATATGTTCACCAAGTCTGTAGGCCCAACATTACTCCAATCGTCTATCGGCAAACTGCGTTTATTGAATATCTTCACACCAGCTTGAAAGGGAGTGTTGGAATTAGGAAATAGTGATATTATAATTACGGTTACGGTAGTGTGCATAAAATCTGTGATTGTGTCAATCACAAATTTAGTACCTTTTTTATCTTCATTTCCTATTTTGTTTGTTTCCTATTTTGTTCATTTCCTATTTTGTAATATTGTTTTATTATAAATATAAGGTTCTACCTCATTCATAGGTAAGCCAAATAATTCTTTTCATTCTTTTCAACCCACTTATTGATTAGAACCTTAAATTGTAAACTAACTGGAGTCCATGACTCAACCTTCCTCTTCATTCAGCTCTACGAGGGCAAATTCACAGAATTTTCCTCAATTATCAACATTAAATTGATGCAGTGAAAATTTGCAATATTGTTCATTGATATTGAAAACCAAGGCCTCCCTAATATTTTTCTAAAGAAGATTTTCTTGCATGCCATGAACATGGGATGGCCATGGTAGCAATCAGATATTGGACCTTTGTCCAAAAAAGAACCCTGGTGTAAGGAGAAATTTTACTTACAGGCAATATAAATTGATTACAAGCTCTAAAAAATATATGGAAATTAAAAAAGATAATCTAAGAGATAACTAAATAAAAAATTTAGAACAAGTTAGTTTTTTGGAGAAAAGATGCATGTTAAAATAATAAAGAGTTCAGGATAAAGCTTTCGGGGGCAACAGAGAAAAAGACCCACCAGATTGAGCAGCATCCAAAAGCTCCTCCAGCTCAAAAACGCGATTTATACCTCCAGAAAGCTCCACGTATGTCTTATTTAGTTGAAGCATTTCTCCAAAACTGGCAAAGCTAGAACTTACAATAGATGTTACATAACGCAATCCATCAGCCAGCTCACCTGAAAATAAAAAGGGAACCTTCATTTTGGTAAGGAACAATTCAATCTGTTTGGTTTCGTTTTCAGAATCTGATTTTTGAAAAATACTAACTAGTTTGGGTGAAAATAAACACTAAAAAAGAGTTTTTGAATTTTGCAAAAAAAAAAAAAAAAAAAAAAAAAAAAAAGGAGAGAAAATAACAAGAAAATGATGAATGTTTTTGAAATTTTCATTATTTTTTTACCAAATTAGTTTTTAGTGCTTTTAGAATACATATTCTGAAAACAAAACCAAAGAAGACAATGTGTCACGGTTCAGCAAGATCTATCTAACAAAAGTCCCTTGAGTGGAAGTCAAGGATTGGTCTCCCATGTATTCCATAGCAAATAACAAGCTAAAACTTGAAGCAACGCTTTGCGGGAGGTGCCTACTGATAAAGTCATCCAGTACACCAAACAGCCACTTCTTCTTATTATGCAATTTTGAGTGATCAAGAAGGTCCCGCAATCTTGATTCAACCATCTGCTTATTACAATGAGCATCACTAGAAAATTTCAGACTGAAATTATATTACGATGCAGTGGATCACATTGCACATTAATAAACTCTACAAGAAGAAAAATACTTTAATGGCATTTGAGTTCCATAGTATATTCCGAAACCAATTTTCTTTGTTAATGTTAAAAACATTAGTCATGTCCTTGTTCTTTTGGAAGCATAAATTAAGGCATTCAAAAACTCTAGTGAAGATAAAAAATAAAAAAATAAAAAGCAACAATTTGAAATATCATTGAAGGCTCAAATTTGGAGCATATGGAATGTAGTGAAATCCAAGAAACTTACCGCTTTTTCTCGAGCACCACCTCCAAAGAAAGCAACGGATTCTGCATGGGTACGCAGTCTCTCGTGCATGTACCTAACGAATTCATCATATAATAAGTCAGGTAGACCATTACAGAAAGCTAGTTCTAAAGCAGCAATACAAATACCAGTAACCAAGCAAAAAATGACCTAAAGGTTCCTTCAAGCTGCTGTTCTCGACTTGCCAGGCCACCAAAATCTGGAGTAAAGTTCTTTAGAAAACCCAGTCCGAGTATCATATAAGCATATAATATAGAAACCCCCCTCCGACCAGTCAACTCCTTCATTCTCCAGGTAAACCTAAAGGATTTGCAGCATTTCTTAAGATAGTTGGTGAAGGGATCAAGAGATAACATGCATTTTCAGCAAATAAGCTATTCTATTATGAACAACAAAAATTTCCACACACACTCACCATATCATGTCAACAGATGGCTTTACCATTCCGGCAACCAGCGTTGACAAGTCAGTAGTTAACTTCTCCACATCTTGAGTAATTCTCTGATCTGCATCAACGTTTGTATCTGACATGTTGAAGACCTACAAAAAGATGAATTTGAAATTAATTTGGAACATCTTAACATCTGTGCCTCAAGTAATAAACAGACAAATTTTTAGAAAGGACAATAATGTTCTTATATTTGGAAAGAAGATAAAGAATGTTAAGTTTAGTAACAGCAGATAATCAAAAGGATGAAAAGCCTGCCAAATAAAGAGATGTAACCAACTCTTAGTCTAAATTAAGACAAATTTGTAGAATTAATTGGATTCCAAGATCCTGTTTAATTACCTTGTAATATGCATCTTTCCTGAAGTAGTGCTTCAACAAATGTTGAGTCAAACGAATCCTCCATTCAAGGGCAAGCTTGGAAGTCAAGTGCCTGCGAACAAGAAACACCAAAGTAATTATCAGACAAAACACTTAGCGACCAAGTCCAAAATGTATAACTACAACAAAAAAATTAAGAAGCTTCTTCAGCTTTGACATCAAAAACAAATTTAACAGTTTGTTACGTGACTAACAAGTACTAAATCCATTCCCAAGAAGAAAAAAAAAGTTGCTCATTAAAGATGCCAAACATGACTGAACAATGCCATTCCGATTTCAATCCATAGCATAATTATATCAAAACATCAATGCCGGCATCATGTTATCAAATCTTCACTTGGAAGCTTACAAATCATGGGCCATGAAATTTTTCTTAAAAAAAACATCTCATCCGAGCATAGCTTGCATATGAATATACTCATGCTGAGGTCATGTACCCAAAAGCTTCAGCTGGAAGGCATCCAATCCAAGCTATATGCAAATGCATGCTAATATACAAGAAGTTGATGCAACGCAAGAAGCACACAAGCAGAACGAGCCCAAGCCCGTTCATAGTCCAGCAATATATGGAGTTCTACTTTGCAAAAAGTCTTAAAGAGTGTAGGACCTTTCATGGAACAGAATGTTCCAATTTCATTTTTTATGGGTATCAAGCAATTATTTTGCTTGCAGTTTTGTGATTGCAGACCAAGTAAAATTCTACTGATCCTTTGTAGATTACCTCAAAGAAGGTGACATGAAAGAAGATGCAAAGTTCAGAACCATAGCAGCACCAAAATACCGAATGTAGGATGTTGTATCTTGCTCCAAAACAAACTTTGTAGTCTTCGCTGAGGAAATCAATTCATTTAAATGATATGTGATGTCTCAGATTTTCAAATGCACGAGGTGCTGTTTGGGGGGCACCCCCATGCATGGGGGGTTGGGGGTGTAAGGAGGTTAAAGAAAAAAATACCTTGTAAAAAGCCAGCAGTATTTCCCAACAAAGAAGTCAAGCCAATTAGTATTGCAACTGAAAGGATCTGTGCTCCCTGTTTATCAAACATTGTGGGTACCTAAAAAAAGCCATAAACAAGTATCAAAATTCCATTCTGGAACGCTGTTTCATTCAGCTCATTAATGTAAACATTTTGAATCCCAAAGGAAGTGGAAATAAGGAAAATATTTGGAAATGCTTGGAAAAAATGAAGTGAACTCTAATAATGAGTAAAGTTAAGCCAAGATTAATTGAATATGTTTGAGGCCTACACATAACCATCCACTACAGAGGGCATTGCAGTAGGATTCACAAGGAAGCACAAGTGCAAGTCAACAGCATTATGACAAACAATATTTGGCTAGGACATGATTCTAAAGGTGATTTTCCCAAATAAATTTAGTACCCAAGTACAATACTGTGACATGATAGGCATGGGCTGTAGTATTTATGAAAATTTTTTTTGACACAGATTACAAGTGACTTAACAATCTGCATAAAACAATTAGAAACCTTGGATACAACAGCCACATTTTCCGCTAATTTGTCTCCTAATCTACTATTCTTGGGAAAATCAGAATTTTTCTATTTTTATTTATTTATTTTTTTGCATTGTTACATTTGAAGCTCTCAGTTCCACTCTAGCCCCACCCCAATTTTTCAAATAAAACGGAAACTACCTTTTATTACTCTTTTGTGATTGCTGTAAAGTCAGATAAAATATTTCAACCATTTACAATATTTTCAACCACTTTTGAGCATGCTTCAGTGGAAATAACTTTGTCCGGAAGAATATGTAAATTCCATTTTGCACCCATGTTTGCTTGTGATTCACTAGGAACATAACATTTCAGCCTTTGATTCAGTAGGAGTATGTAAAAAAGCACTTTTAAGAAGATTATGGGCATAAAATAACAACTAAACAAGGGTCAAGTAAAAATCACAAGAACACATCCAAAAGGGCTAAGGATGTCGTTTGGGTTCATCGCTCCAACTTACCAAACTAATCCTTGTGTCCTAATCAGTTATTTGATCATTACTCTTATAGGTCTTCATTGAACACAACTTACACATCTTATAGTTTGTTCTCTCTCAAATTATCTTCTATTGGTGCTATTCCTACCATTTGATGAATAAATTCATCTCTAATTCTCGCTTTCCTACATATCCGTCTAAGCACTGTCATTTTAGATACACTTATTTTATGAACTTGTTGTTTAGTTGTCTAACATTTTGTCCCTTCCAATATCATTGGCCTTACAACTATTTTATAAAATTCTATCGAAATTTTGTTGGTATTCGTCAAACCTAGGTTACAAAAAATTACATTCTTTTTGTCATCTCCTAATTTTCAAGCTTGTTTGTGTTTTGAGTGTGTGGTTTGAGTTTCGAATTCATTAGCCAGGTATAAGAAATAAAATAACGACCTATCCACCAAAAAAAAAATTTATGAATATGTAACTAAAAAGGAAGCCCTCCTCTAGAGAACATAACTTAAATATACACTGAAAGAAAAATATATACATAATAGCTCTTTCTGCACAAAAGAAATGTGGAAGCTTTCAAAAGACAAGGCCAAGTACCCATATCAATAACTATCAGTTGATCATCACCAGTGTTAACAAAATGCTCAATTTCGAGTCATAGTCATTCTTATCACAGCAAGAAAGCTGACTATTAGCCATATGAAGGTTGAATCATTTTGGTTTTATGTTGCATAACACACTTAGAGAGATAGAGATAGCAGAAAAATGTTTCCCAACTAAAGAAACTCACCAGTATTTTAAACATGGCCGCAACTCTCGATATCAGTGGCCTAGAAGCACTTTGGAGCTGTGGAATTATAGGCAATGGAGCACCATGACTCATGGGGGGAGATGCTGCTGTTAGCTCTGAAATATATGATTGTGACTTTGCATTTGATGATAAAGAATCCTGGATATGAGACCACCAACAAGGTTTTAAAATGCAACATTAGGTAAAATAAAATGCAAAGTTGATCATCATGCAAAGTTAAGTCAAATGGAAGTTCAATGACAACAAAGCAAGCTTGAGTACTCTGCACCGATTATTTTACTGGCATACCATTTTTGTCATGGCAAACGCACGTTGAACTGCCATTGCATCACTTTGGCGATCTGTCTCAGAAAGTTCCATAGCATCAAAGCCAGATTCAGTACTACGAACTGCAGAATCTTCCCTGATAATATCAAGAAAATGTATTAATAAATATCTGCAGTCAAAACCATGAATCCACACATGGACAATTTTTCTTTGCCAACTCAAAAGCCCAACCTCTTGTATTGAACTTTCCAGCCTCCTTCACCATCTAAGGACAAAACCACATCATGAAATGCAACTAGTGCTGGACGATGTGATATGGTGATGCAAGACATTCCCATGGCTTGAACCCTTGCACAGAAACGTTCTTCCATGTCACTTGTTACAGCACTGGTGCATTCATCAAGAATAGCAAATTTGGGCTTATGGTAGAAGAGTCTGGCCATTCCCAATCTTTGTTGCTCGCCCAATGATAGTTCATCACCCCAGTTTATCTCCTTTTCAAGTGGGTAACGATCTAACAGATACTCAAGGTCAACCTAGTAAAAAGACAAAATTTCACCCAAAATTATACCACAGTAAATCTTTAAGATTTCAGTAGAGCCACGAGATGACTGAAATACCTTCAACAGAAAGAAAAAAATGAATATGATGAAACTCTTACATATTTCAACAGATCAACCAGTTCATCATGTGTCAGTGGTTCAACCTCTTCATCAGCAGTAAGAGGATAGATTAACTGGTCGCGAAGTGTTCCCACAACCGTATATGGCCGTTGTGGCACATAGAAAATCTCCTTATTTAGATCAGAACCAACTCCAGGTTTCACAAGATGGCCAGACATGAGTGGCCAAAGCCCTCCCAAAACTCGAAAAAGTGAGCTTTTGCCGCTACCATTCGGACCTTCAGTAGGGAATGCAACATAAGTTCAAATTTACAAACTTATGTAGTTTAAGAAACTCATGCCCATAATGAAGCAAACTTTAAAGCTTAGCTTGCATTGTTTTATCTTTGATAGTACTTAAGTGATAGGAAACTATTACCAGAAGAAAAAAATAATAATATTCATAAACAACAAATGATAGAGAGATAAAATGAAAAGGCAAATAAAGGCTTGAACTGATTTTCAACTCATTTCTTTCTAAGCTAACACAACAGATGGTCATGAGTGAATGATTTAATGGAACTTCCATGATGTCCTGAGTACATTGCTTCTTAACATTGACTTTTCAAAGTGTAGTATTAAGAGTGGAGCCCCTACGTTAAAAAATTCTTTTGGCCATAATATTATATATATATACATGGAGAGAGAGAGAGAGAGAGAGAGAGAGAGGAAAGAGATTGAGACTCCTAAAAAGCCTCTCCTAATTTTACCCACAATGACATGGCAGGTCATGTGTCAACTTTTGATTTGTTACAAACTTAACCATGGAAGGCCCAATTCTCTTGCTATGTCATTGTAAGTGAACTTGAGGTTTAAATTATGGGTCTCTAGCATTCTTCTATATATATATATATATGAGGAAGCTATAATAAACAATTTTCCCAAGTCTAATACGTGGACTATACTAATCTGATCCTAGACACATATCCATGCCTGTCACATACTCACGGTCAGCTGAGTCCATACAGCATAAAGTGTGCAACATAACCTTCCTTCTAATTAAACGAAGACACTGAAGAAACTTCAAAACATAGGTAATTGTTAGTTAGCACATTATGGCACATGGACCTCAACACATAAAATATACAGATTGTACTGGCTTGTTCACTTTCTGCACTAGCAGTTTGAAGTAACAAATTAATATTTTGGAGCCTTGAAAGAAATGTCCTCCTTCGGTTTTCTTTTTCTTTTTGGTAAGTATTAATGTTCTGTTCATGGAAACAAAAGTCAACCAGAAGGGGAGACAGAGAGAAAGAGTGGTTAAAAGCTTAAGGAATAATAGGTTACCTGTAACCAATAAATTAGATCCTGATTCAACCTTCAGAGTCAAATCTTCCACCAAAACATTACCAGTTGGGGTAACAACCTGCATGATGCTACAGTTAATAAAAGAACATGGAAACCACAAACTATCCGAAATCAGAGTCCAACGATTTTCCAACTACCTTCACGCCATCGAACTCAATGTAATTAGCTTCAGTAACACAATTCCCACTGCCTTTCCCTTGTAGTGAAGATGCATCATTGACACTTAGCTCTTTTGATATGGTCATGAGTTCAAGAATTCGACCCGCATAACCCCTGCAAAGTATTATCTCAAGTTAAGAATGACCAGAAAGCCAGCTATAGAAAGATATTACAAATTTAACATATTGCTTTCCACTGTGTTCTCAGGGCTCTAAAACACAACAGAAAGTTAGTAACTGCAATATGTCACAACAGATTGCTGCAGCAAAATAATTAGAATCTAACATATACAACAGCATCCACATGTTATGCAGCATCTTCATAGTTTGTTCTTGCCACCTAAGTCAGTCTACATAGGAGACTTATGTGGAGAAGGAACACAAACATGATCATGAGTCTCTAAGAGAATTGAAGGTCTATTTGAGAAGACAGAAGAATACAACTGCCTCTCTCCCACTCCCTTGCCAATCAGATCTCTTTGACTCAGGTAACCCTAGTTCTGTTCTTATTTCTATCCCTGTTTCCAATTTTAATTTTGATTGTCGTCTTCCTATTGTTCTTCGTAAAAGTATTAGATTGAGTACGGAATTCCCTTTTTTTAATTTTGTGTCCTTGAATCATCTCTCACCTTCTAATCGTGCCATTATATCTTTTGTGTCTATTCAACAGAATGTTCAGAAAGCACTCAAGGATCCCAAGTGAAAAAAAGGCAACGTGTGAAAAAATGAATGATCTCGAGTAAAATAATACTTAGGAGTTGGTAAAATTACTTTAAGGGAAGAAACCAGATGGGTGTAGGTAGGTGTTGTAAGCAAAAGGCAGATGGTTCTATTGAGAGATACATGGCCAAGTTGGTGGCCAATGGATTCACTCAGACCTACGGACTTGATTATCATGAGACCTTTGCTGTTGTAGCAAAGACAAATTCCATTAGTGTCATTCTTCCTTGTTAGCTAACTTGGATTGGCTTCTTCAATAGCTTGATATAAAAAATGTTTTTCTTCTTGGTGACTTGAAAGAGGAGGTATTGTTAAGTCACCAATTTTTCCCAAAACCTAAGTTATTAGGAAATGAGCCCAACGATGCATATCAAGCTATCTAAAACTCTCCTTCACGTGCAACCCCCTCTTGCACGTGGAGAGACAAACATAGAACCAAATAGAAGGAGAAGCAAAGAACCAAACAAAGCAGAAGAAACCAAACGGGAAAGAATACGAAATGCCAACGAAGAGACTTAAACCCAAGACATCTCCCAACCTGAGCTCTGATACCATACTAAGTTACCAATTTTCCCAAAAACCTAAGCTGTTAGGAAATGGGCCCAACAATGCATATCAAGCCATCTAAAATTCGTGAAGCGAAGCCCCACATTGCCTACGTACTAAAATAATGTTAAGCATATAAACGTGAGGGCACCCTCGTCTCAATAGCAAGCTTTTGGGGTTGAGTTCTACACAAGACCGTGTACTAGGTATATATGGATTCCCCTAGGGTTCCCGCTTGCCATTAATAGCGGAAAGGTTTGCAAGCTTAAGAAGTCATTATATGGTTTGAAATAGTCTCCTAGAGCCTAATTTGAGAGATTTACCAAGGCTATGCTCAAATTTGGGTATCAATCGTTCTAACACTAAGTTGAACAAAATGAAAAAAAATATTAATACAGGAGACGAAATAGAGCGAGTAGATTATTTCCTTGTGATTCTCTCTCTTAGTCTCATTTATTGAAGATTACAAAACTACCATTCTCACTAATACAAAAGAGAACAGGAAAAAACTAGGACATATCCAACAGGTTGAAAGTTCATTCAACCTAACTTCACAAAGTGAACAGCAAAAGGGGCAAATTTCTGAACAATAAATAAACTAGAAGTTCAAAAAGTACACACCAAAGCTCCAAAAAATTTTCTTTCCTATTTTTATTTTTATTTTATTTTTTTATGCAAATGAAATGATGAAGCAACCATTTTAGGTAATTGCCATCCTAAAATGTTCTAGGAAATTATGAAGTGAAAACTATTTCGGTATATGCCTTGCTTCACCGTACAATGCAAAAAAAAAAGTAATTAATCAAGCAATACCTCAGTCGATCAATCTTCATTGGATTACCAAAAAGAATCCCCAGCGATGTAAATAGTGCTATTATGACACTAGAATGATATTTTAAGTTGCTCAGTGTCTCTGCTCGTCCTAAGGCTGAAGATCCAGGTCTCAGCTTGCCAAGAAAGAAGGGCTCAATCATCAGGGTACCAGCAACAATCGCACCAAGACACCTAAATATTAAATCTTGGGCAATGCCAAACCACCAATTGTGATGAAGCACAACTCCCATGTGCTGAATAAGAGCTTTAAACTTCTGCTGAATGTGAGATTCTTCTCTATTTTCACCACCATAAATTGCTATGCTCTCTGCATGAGTCCTCAACCGTGAGTGAAGCTGCCGATACTCCCCTGCCAATTGTTGTTCTTTAGACATTAGCATCCCAAAGGAAGGAGAAATCCTTCTTGCCAAGCCCCCTGTTCCAAATATATAGGCCTGGAGAATAAAAATTACATGTTTAGAAGACAAAGTACAAGCTACAATGGCGCCATTTGGTGTAACTGTTAAAACAGATTATAGATTATACCTTAACAGATTATAGATTATGACTTTAATCAGAAGTTGTTAATCTGTTTAGTGTAGTTGTTGGATTATAGATTTAAGTTACTGAGTAGTGTTTGTTAAATAAGCTGTGAAGTAACTTTTTAAATAAATATTTATTTTTGTTATTCACTACTTGTCTACATTTCTCATAAAAAATAATAATAATATTCTATAGTCCATTTGGGTCTTTTTTCTATTTTTAAAAAAATAAAAAATAAAAAAAATCTAAGAGTATAACTGTAAATTAATATGTCCACAGCAGAAGCTGATAATCAAAGCCAAGGGGTGAGCAGCTTCTCAGAATCAGCTTTTTTGACTTAAAATAAGCTGTTAAAATTAGAAACTGTTTGAAATAAGTTTAACCAAACAGTCCAAAATAGCTTTTCAAAAGCCAGAAGCAATATATTGGCTAAAAAAAGCCCAAACAAACATATCATGATAAGGTCAAAAGTTCGGCATTAAATGGAAAATAGCACTGGACAGTAGCAGTACAAACGCATCTAAAAATAACCCCTCCCCCTAAGAAGCACGGACATGTACATGTGACACAATACGGATACGCCGAGATAGAAATTTTCAAAAAAAATGTACAACACGACACGTGAGAGACAAGTGTAAAATATATAATATTTATATTTTTTATGTCATATATAAGGATAAATAATTATTATAAGTAATGTATATGAATATTTTAACTCAAAGATAATAATTTTTAAAGTCTAAAGGAGGAGAATAGGTATAAATTTACATTGTTTTTGTTTTATCATTGGATATTCAAACTTGTAATATGTTTCTTGTCTGTCTAAGTATTGGGAAGTGTCCAACAAGTGTCGTGTCATGTTGTGTCAATGTCGGATACAACGGGAGAAAAATGTCCATGCACCTTTTTAGAAGTGTCCATGCTACTCCCCCAACCACAGGAGAAAAATGTCGAAGTTTAAAGCAGTCTAAATAAGGGGTTTACCAACATCCAAACAATATATTTTGGGCTTGCATATGAACATAGGCTCCATGTATAGAGTACACCATCAAAAGCTGCCATCACATTCTCCTGTAAGAATTCACTCAACTCTGTGCAGAACCTTGGTACATCACTTGCAATTCGTTGTTCAGGATTACGTATCCGACCATCAACATATGATAGTTTGTAGTATGCCATATTCTGAAACCCACACAAAGAAGTAATAAACAACCAAGGAATCACAAAGTAAATTTTGCACAAAATCAGATGATGCTTTACAGGACAGTATATCAATTAAAACAGTAATCAGGTGAACCATAATGTAGGCAACAGGCTCCCAAAAACAATGGAGATCCAATTAAAATTTTTGTTTACTACGTAAAATGTGCTATTGCTGTATAACAAAAAGATTAAAATTTAAATAAATTTTACCTAGACATATTTAAAAAAAATTAAATTATGGATCATCACGCAGGTACAGTATGTGCCCACTAAGATGACCCAGATAAAATATTCAATTCAGGAAACTCACAAACCTTGCTCCCAGCTATTTGAGATCAGTTTCATGAATCTCTTTTGGGGCTTTTCGTGAAGCCATACCCTTTTTAAATTACAGGGAAAATCCAAAAAAATGTTAAGAAAACCTTTTGATAAATTTATGGGCTAACTATTAATGTTATGGGTAAGCTGTGAGGAAGACAAAGATAAGTTCAAGAGTTTGTAAAGGGATCGCATTCTAGATTGATTATATATTAGAAACAATTTTGCAAAGGTGTACGTTATTGTAGCCCTTCTAATAGTCATAAGGTTCTGAAAATCATACAGTACAGGCCAAGAACTTAGAACTGAAACATGAATAACAGCCAAGAAGAGACAACTGCATAAGCCCATGATTCTGACAGAATGAAAATGCTATGCATGTAGTCATCACCATGCAGAGGGATAAGAAAAGATATTTAACTTAATCAAAACTAGATAAAAATAAATAAAATACAGAAACAAAGATTCATACAGTAGTCTGCCAAAAAAAATGGGGAAGATAACTACCTCAAAATACGGTGCGTGGAGAAGCGTTGTTAATATTTTTCTGAACTGCAGACTTAAGCTTCCCTTAATATACTTAGTTGTAGAAAATAAGGTTGACTGAAGGAATCCCAACAGAAGATTTTCAATAATAAGACGAAGGAAACCCTGTTTGTCTCGAAGATAAGCAGCATGAAATAGGTTTCCTTGCACTTTTGCTAATCTATGGCCTGAAACGGTTCGCAACACCTGCAGAGAGTACAGAGAAAGCATACACAAAAGTAAGCACAACATCTCGATCCATGTGAGGAGAATCAAATTTCAAGCATATCAAACAGATAAGCTGATGATGCAATGTGGCCAAACAGAACATAGCATATGTAACTAAACCTTGAACTTCAAGATTGCTCAAAAGAAAAGGCTTTACCGCTATGATCAATAAAGCCATAAGGTCCCTCGCACCCCTTAGGCTCATATGAGATAGAAGAATTGCAGCTACAAGCTTAAGTGGTGGTCCTTCCTTTTTTGGGGGCTTGCTTTCATTTGAAACTTTCTCATTTTTGACTATCTTGTTTGATTGTTCTTTATGATCACTAAGCCCATTGCAGTGAGCAATAGATTCAGGCTTCTTACAGGAATATCGTGATCGAATGTATGCAGCCACCCCACCAGCAACTATGACGCCTCCACTAGCAAGCGCAACACTTTTCCTGTATACAAGATAGCAATATCATAGGTCCACTGCAGACAGAAAAGAGTAAAGATGTACACAAGAATAAAAAATAAATTGATCACGCAATTGCATAGTAAGAAAAGGAGTGATCAATGGTTTCAAGTTGCTCCGGAAAAAAAAAAATGGAAAAAAGAAAAAAGCATGGTTTCAAAGCCATGAATTTATAGTTGATTCAGAGATCCATCCTAAATCAAAACAATTACGAGTCAGAGTTACCTTGTCCTATCTCAATTCTTGACAAGCAAATTTTTTATATTTTAATTTTTTTTTTTTATACTATTTTAGGTAAATTTCATCAAGTTTTACCAGCCTTTCCAAAAACAAGGAAATATTATTCAAAAGCCAACTTTTATTAATAAAAAAAAGAAAAAGGAAAAGAAAAAAACAATCAAAGGAGCCAACTCTCTATTCTTTAAAATATTATTTCTTTTAGTAGAAACACAATCCTTTCTTTGAAGCCATTGATACAAAGTGCTAGCGTAGTGTTGCAATCTCACTTCGGATAACAAAAATATAAACTTCTTGGACACCCTCCTCTTGCAAACCAGTTTTCAAGAATGAGTTCTACCAAAGAGTTTGTATCATTAATGAGCTGCAGTTTTGTGGCTATGCGAGTATGAAATCAAATGGGCTATGGTTTTGTGATTCGAGCCGCAGAGAGGGCTACCTGGATTATGTTAATACTGACATCTTAATGAAGTCTCCATGAGGGAAAGGCTACCATTGGGTCAGTATTACAATCCCATACTGATTAAGAAAGGCTTCGCGTGAGAACCCTTCCTTGCAAGCTTAAGCTACTTGTTAACTATGAACAGTATAACAATTATATTTTACCAATGGTCAAATAGCTATGTTTTGCCTCAACCAATTTTTCCACCATTTAATTTCCCAATTTCAACTACCAATCTCCCACCCATTATTATTTATTTCTTGATGAGTTAGATTCAAGTAAATCATATTTTTCTCATTATTATTATTATTCTTTTTTACTGTTTTTATTTTCTGAATCTTCAATCTTCTTTTTCATGGATTTTATTGTTGATTTGTGAATTTATTTCTGAAATTTTTTGAACTATTTGATGATTTTGGATTTTATGCAAGTTTTTTAAGACAGAAAGATGGGAAGATGAACAGTAAATCTGGACAATGTTTTTGTGCTAGCAAGTTTAGCCATGGCTAGTTTGACACAAAGTACAACAATTGGTCAAATATAGAAGGTCCTTTACCTAACCATTGGAGTTCAAAAAAGTGATTTTCATGCTAAAAAATAGCTATACCAGCCTTTTATCTATCCACTGGAGATGCTCTGAGTTGAGTATGTATCACATATAGCATGGGCAGCTTATTCCCTTCCAACTTAACACCCCGCTTGGATTGGGTGGTTTGAGGAGAAGAAGAAGACAAAGAAAGAAAAAAAAAACATTTCCCTTGGTTTATATCAGCTGTTTGAATTTGTTTGAATTAGCAAACAGGAGAGAAATAGGGTAAAATGGGAAGAAATACAGAAAATCCAATTTTTTTTAATCCTCATTTTGAATCTCTCAAAAAGTAAGAGATTGGGAGAGTAGAGAAATCAACAACAAAAAAAAAAACTATTTTTCATAATTCTAAAACTGTACCTTTAGATATAAAAGAAATTAAAAAAATAAAATAAAATTTATTGACATCAATAAAAAGTTAATTTTAATTTGATAATTTAACATAAAACAATTTATTTTCTAGTTTGACCAAATAAGATAGAAATTTTCTCTTCTCTTTTCAATTTATCCAAATAAAGAGTGAAAATATATGGGTCAAGCTTTTCTGGATTTCAAAAGCGAATTATTAATTTTAAACTTAACTATTTTAATAATAAAACTTAACCTTAACATTTTTACCTACATACCTCTATAATTTTCCCCCCAACTTATCAAGGCTCGTCAAAACCTTTTTTATTAAAACCGAATTGGGCCAACTATAATCGGGTCGGGTAATTTTGCATCTCTCCGTTTCTCGTATGTAATCATTTCGGTTACTTTTAAGGCTCCCAAACAGAGGGTAAATCTACACCATCCCTTTTGATACAATCCACTAAGTTCAATACAAGAGCCAATCTAATATCCCTTGTTCTATCTTTTACAATTTGGATCACATTTATGAACCATAATCCAACAATTGTCTTCTTCTATATAGTAGGTATTTGACATGCACTAAAAAAATATACTTTTTTTGCATACATATATTTATTTGGGTCACATCAATCAACATCTATCAATATTTTCTCTTTACTTTTCTACTTACTTTCTCTACTTTTCTACATTTTTTTTTTTATAAAATGTCAAAAGGTCCACTTATTTAAAACAAGCCAAACTACCCTATAATATAGTGAACGCTCGGTAAAAATAAATTATGCAAAGAGGAGGATGGGCCTCCAACGCATGACATGGGTTTAATAATGAATGTTATTACTATTTAGAACGTCTCCACGATTCCTTTTTTTTTTCCTTTCACCAAATTTAAATTTGATAAAAAAAATTCAATTATGGTATTACAATCATAACATCAAATCAATATCAAATTGAAAATATCTTAAACTTTTCATCAAATTGAGAATGTTTAAAGCATTTCATCAAATTTGTAGGCAACCATTGAGTCAGACGTCCTCCTGACAAACTTTTTTTTACAAAATTATCCTATAAGTTGTGGTCAATTTATACCAAACCGGTCAACTGGCCAAATATTCGTCCAGTCATCCTCCCAATCAATCGGTACTCTGATAAAAATTTAAGATTTTCCGTGCGCGATAGCTTTTATATAAATTTGATGAACAAAAAATGTTGGAGATTCTCTTATGCAAGACAATTATTTTTTTTAGTCATTATTCTTATAATATATTTTTGAATTACTCACACATCGCTTGTACAGACCGATAGTCTATATATAGAGAGAGGGGGGTATTTGAAAAACCAGAAAACTCGTCATGATTAGGAAAAACCTTTTTTGAATTCGGAGTTTCTCCTGGATATTGAAGAGAAATGACGAGGAGAAAGAACAGCCAGAGCACACACCGACAAAAGAGGCCGGAAACACTGCAACCGGTGCATAGCCACCAACAGTCATGGTGGCGTGTGGGAAGAAGCGCGTGGACAACAATAGAGTGTGAACGAAGAACGAGATTACCCGACAAGAGCCCAAGAGGTTCGCGCAGCCCAATTAGTCTGTTACCCAATTCTTTAGGGCCCATTTAGATCGAAACACTAAAGCTCAAATTCTATGGAACAAATAAACGGCCCAGTCCAAGTCAAAGTACCTCCAAAATATTTTTTTTTGAAAATATATAGAATTAATAAATATTAAATATAACGGTGACACTATATCCATGGTTGAATGGTGTCACTGCCAGCCAATGCATCATTACACCCAATATAATTCACATAAAACCATACTAAACTTGCCTTCATTTGGGGAGGAAAGAAATCCCTACAAAGGTTACCCATTTTCACTTAAAATTCAGAGCATGTGGTTAAATTATGAAATTAATTTTGAAGTTAGAATTATATTAATCCACGTAAGATTATGTATCTTAAATAATTTAAAAACATAAATGAATAGGATATCAATGTTTCCTATAATAATAATGATGGAAAGAATTGTAAAACAGAAAACTATTTTAACAAAATAAACCATATGCTTTTAATTTTGTTCATTTAAATCTAAAATATGTACCTATTTTTGTTAAGTAAAACCAATAGAAAAATAATTATTTTAGTTATTAAACTCATGAAAATGGATATTTTAGACATTTTATATATACTTACATTGAGTTTAATGACTAAGATACTGGTTTTTCGTCGATTTTAGTCAATGAAAATAGACTAATAATTTAAATTGATAAAATTAAAAACTCAAATTTTATTTTGTTACAATTGTCAAACTTTTTTCTTTTTTTTTTTCCGGCTGTGTGCGCTAATTGTGCCTGAAGGATTATATGTAAGCATAAGAAGAAAGAGTGGAAGTGTGAGTAGAGGGTACCTCCTGGAAGCCAATAGGGTACGACCACGCTCTGTTAACTGCAACAGCTGAAGTGAATGCATGGCTGCAGGTGGACTTGGGTTTCCCTACCCAACAGATTTCACTTACTGGGATTGCCTTCTCTCTCTTCAATTTCTTTGCAAAAAAAAAAAAACACAAGAAAGACAATTTGAGTTCAAGAACAGGAACTGAACATGTTTTTCACCATAAACAGTCAAAAGGAAGCCAATAGGATACGACCACGCTCTGTTAACTGCAACAGCTGAAGTGAATGCATGGCTGCAGATGGACTTGGGTTTCCCTACCCAACAGATTTCACTTACTGGGATTGCCTTCTCTCTCTTCAATTTCTTTGCAAAAAAAAAAAAACACAAGAAAGACAATTTGAGTTCAAGAACAGGAACTGAACATGTTTTTCACCATAAACAGTCAAAAGTAGGAATAAAGAAAAATACAACCAACAATGTGAAATCCCTCTGTCATACTATTTGACTCATCTAATAAATTAATTAGCATTTTATGAAAGAGTCTTTAAATTATATGAATTAAGGTTGACTAGTTTAATAGAAACGATGTGAGATAAGTTTTAACATTTTCTTACATATATAGTCGATTGTATGCAAAAAAATTTAAGAGATAGATAAGCGACAAAGAGAATAGATACTAGCAAAAAACTTTACTCACACATTCAAGAACCAGTTATAATGCCATATTAGATCACCATTAATTTAAATAAAATTAAAAAAAAGAATAAAAAAATTGGGAACATGGCTTAGTTCTTATTTCAAGAGGCTCTGGGTTCAAGTCTTATTACCGTTTTTGTTGGATTATTTTGAAGTCGATGAGTTGATTTTAAGTCAATCATTAAAAAAGGAAAAGGAATTTTATATGCACCATCATGCACCCTTTGGTAAAACACTGATCTTATGTTTGATTAATTGAAATAATTTAGAGTGGATTTATCATTCAAAACCTGCGTATTTATTATATGGGTTGTAATCATATAACATTACTAAACCCAATTATATGTGCAGGTTACAATGGGTTGATTGCCGATCTTAATGGGTGCGCTGTTAGTAACTTGACACACTACATTTGGTGCACTTCTTTGTATTTTTTTTTTATTTAAAAAAATTATATAAGCAAATTTGTTTTTACATGCACTTATAAGTCACATTTGCATTCCAGGTAGCATTCTATATATAGGTTAAGGTCAGGAGATCTCGATTGGGAATATTATTTTTTAGTTTAAAAGTTAAAAAATCATTAAAAAAGTTAAAAAGTTAATAAATTACACAAAAAAAATTAAAAATTTTATTTTATCTGTACTTTTTGCATATCTTTTTATAAAAAATTAAAAAATTATCTCAAATATACTAATTTTTTTTATCTCATATCTTTACTAAAAATTAAAAAATTATTAAAATAACATATTCCCAAACGATGATGAAATGACAAAGAACTTAACATGAGCAATAATAAAGTTATGCTAATTAAGTTTCACACGTGTCTGTACAGACAAGTCATCATGCATTAGTTTAATGATTTCATTTTTTTATATATTTATATCAATATTTGTAGTTTAGGTGACTTCTTAATTTTATTTTTTATTTTTTTGTTTATATTTTATAAGATAGAAATAATTTAAATAAGATAAAAAAAAATTAATTTTTCAAAAATAAAGGAAGAGATGCTTTCAATTTTTAATTTTTAATTATCAATTATTAACTTATAAGAAATTGCACCAAATAAGCCAATTATGTACCATCAAAAATTTGTATTCAAATTTGATCACACTTATTCTGCTCAAAAAAAATAAAATAAAATAAAAAAATTGATCACACTTACAAACACTAGTGTAACAAGAGGACTCTTATCATTTTTCCATCAAGAAACAAATTCAGAGCTTAGCCTGTTTACATTTTGGTGGGTAAATTCTAATGGCCTCTTTGTGTGAAGTAAAGGGATAAAATTGAAATTTTGCTAACAAGTAAAAAATTGCAATAACAAAATCCCTAGGGTCTTTGTCTTTATTATTATGATATACTAATAGGACCCATGTAATTAAAAACATCACAAATCCACCCATGCACCACCCAAAAACTAGCACCACCACCATAACTACACCATGACCACTTGGCCCCAGCATCACCAATCCATAATCCAAACAAGAAAACAAAAAAAAATCAAAAGAAATATATTAATGAATCTCTCTCTCCTCTCTCTCCTCTCTCTCCTCTCTCTCTCATAGTGAGTGTGAGATTCAACTTGTCTGCACCTTCATAATACTAGCAAAAATTGTAACCACTAACTAGTTGCTATGGTAGCAGTGTGTGTTTACGGTCGGCTCAGCTCGGCTTTACGCTTGACCCGTCAGCCGAACCAACACCTTTTGGTTGGGCAATCAGTCAACCATTATTGACCCGTGAACACCCTAATTGCTGCCATCGATTTGCTGCCATCACTAATTAATCATCACCATTTTTTAGAAAATTGATAAAAAATTCACTTTTTAACTTTTTTTTAAAAAGTTGGCTTTTTTGTAACTTTTTTTTTTTTTTAGTGTAAAAAAAGCTAAAAAACTAAAAAACTCTTTTTTTATTTTATTTTATTTTTAACTTGTTACCAAAACACCCCTGAGCTGGAAGCTTTCTCTCTCCATCCCTCAACAAAGGGATTCGCATTAAAAATCATCACTCTTTCTCAACCTTCACTCCTGAGTGAGTAATTCAATTAAAATTAATAAAATTAATTTTACTACAAATTTTTGACAGATGCATCAGTTAACAAAAACAGTATAAATTTTATTAATTTATATGTCATTTTTGTCCTCTCTTGTGTCTATAATTTACTACAATAGGGTTGGCAACTCCGAGATCCAATAGGGTTGGTTTTTTAATTTTTTGACTTTTTTAGTTATTTGACCCTGGACTCAAAAGCTTGGTTTGAAAAAGACTTTTTAGTTTTTTGATTTTTTTGACTTTTTTTGTGAAAAAAGTGTGTGATAATTTTGGGTTAGATGTGATATTTTGTCTGTTATGATTCAAATAATCTATTCTGTCTTCTGTGACTCAAAGGACCAAAAGAACCCAAATGAGCTCTTTCCAAACGATACCTAAATGAACTTAAAAACTGAACCGTAATTTTAATTTAAAAAAAAAAAAAATCGAATTTCTTGAACTCAGCAGGAGAACTTAAACTGAGCTCTCCTCTTCCTAACCCATGAATGAAAAAAAAAAACAAAAAACAAAAAACAAAGCATGTATTTGAAAATCAGTCAAACTTTTTCGAAATCAATTACAAAACTGGATATAACCTTTTCATTTGAGTGGATCTCACATCCACAAAAGAGAATTGTGTCCTATTCTATGCAAGTAGAAGAACTATTGATGCCAATCTAAAACAACCCCAAAAGAGTAACCATGAAAACAGAAAACGAAAACAAAAACACTACCAAACAGAAACAACCCCAAAAGAGTATATGTACCATGAAAGAAAATGGAGTTAAACGCTTACCTTTAGAGCTTCCAAGGATGCTAAATGTGCTCCATCATCACACATAGAAGTTGGCAACACTGCATATTTCTTCAATATTGATGCTTGTATTTTTGAGTTTCATACAACCAAACACGCCTTTATCGGATTCTCTGCATATAGGTTGTTGCTCTTGATTGGTGGCTTTCAAAAACGATCGGGGATTTGATTTCCGATCGTTTTTGCGAGTTGAAACTCGCAGTAGCCTCACCCGGTTGAGAGACCTTTTTATCACTACTCTCTTCCTTCTTTCTTTCTTTCTTCTTTCTTTCTTCCCTTTTTTTTTCTTTTTTTTTGTTTTGTTTAAATCTTTTTTGAATATATCATAGGAGTATATGTTCTCACTCACTATAATAAGGTGTGTTAGGTGTTGTTGGGAAAGCAAAATTATAAAATAATTGTAAATGTGTAGATGCATGACCCTACAAAGTGTTGCCGTGTTCATTAATATTATTGTCTTATTTACTTCGCAGTCCAATTTAAGTTTTTTATTTTCTCTAATTTAATGAAGGGCCCTATAAAGTGTTGCTATGTTCATTAATATTATCATTTTGAAAACTGATTTACAAATAGAATTTGCATACCTAAAAAGCGAATTGTTATTTAATATTAAAAATTAGATTTAATTTTCAAATCTAATGATGTGATAATCAATTATGATATTAAATGTAACACTCTCTCTTATATTTTTTCTAATCATCAACCAATCATATTACTTATACATTATTGGGTCTATGAAATAAGTGTAGAAAGCAGACTTGTATATCATTTCTTTGCATAAAATATATAAAAATGATGTGATAATAATATGCTTTTAATTATGAAATTTTGATTAGAAATAAAAAATCACAAATAACCGTGTCATTCTCTACAAAATTTTTGTATAGAAATTTTGTTTGTATAATATTTACTTCATAATCCATTCTAAGTTTCTTATTTTTCACAAATTAGTTATTAATTGGTGCCACTTCTGATGCAAATTATTTAAAAAGTAATATAATATATAAATAATTTTTTTAACAAAGAAAAGCAAAAAAAATTTTCACTATTCTATATATAAAGATAGTGAAATCTATATTAATAAGTACACATGAATTCAATTATTTTGTGTCAAATGACAAGAAAATTAAATAAAAAATTCATTTATTTATAACATTTATCTTAGTTATGTTTTGTACAACAATAAAAAAATATATATATTACATCTATGGCTCTAATTGTAAAAAAACACAACTTTGTCCTTATTTTCTAAACAAAATGATATACATTCTTCTTATTGTTATTAATAAAGATGAGAGATATATCGTGTAATAGTCTTATTCTACTCTTAACATTTTTGTGAAATGATATTCAAACCAAAGAACAATATAAAATTATAAACGTAATTGAATTGACATAAAATTATGAAGCTCAAAAAAAAATTATAAATTTTATTTTTGCAAAAAATTCTAAAGTCCAAACATTTTTAAAATATAATTTGTATATATAACCATTGATCATGCAGTAAAACAATTTGTATAACTAGAGAAATTATTAAATTTAATGGTCATTTCTAACTGTCCATTCTTCTTTTTGATTTCGACATGACAAAATAAAGGATAGTGGATGGTCACAATAAAGTGTAAATTTGAAAATGAAATTTGAAAATTAATCATTTTGCTTGGTTTTTATTTTTTAAAAACAGTTTTATACTTTTATTTTTCGTGTTTTTTTATTTTTACTGAATTTTTTTAATATTTTATGCAAATTTTTTACTTTTTAGACACACCTAACATAAATATACCTAAAAAGTAAAAAAATTGTAAAAAAAATCTTTTAAAAATTCACTAAATACCAAAAATATAAAAAAAATACAAGAATTTAATACATTTTTTGTATTTTTATGTATTTCTTAATTTTTTTAAATAATGTTTCACAATTTTTTTACTTTTTAGACACATCTAAGTAAGGTGCATCTAAAAAAGTAAAAAAAATGTTTAAAATTTTAAAAATATTCACTAAAAACAAAAAAATACAAAAATCAAAAAACTCAATTTTCAAAAAACTTAATCCAAAAAACTCAAACCAAACACAGTGATTATTTTTTGAAAATGTAATTTAGTCACGTATTTTTTGGAGAAAAAAATGGAATATACTCATTTTCTTACTTTAGCACAACGTTTGATAATTACTAATTTGACATGAACTTTCAAAACTTTCGCAATTGTCAAAATTTGAGAGAACTCTTTTTCTCAACCCTTATAGTCGGCCAATGATTGGTGGCAAAATGGCAATTTCAAAATCAATTTTTTTTATGTTTTGTACGACAATAAAAAATATATATATATTACATCTATGGCTCTAATTGTAAAAAAACACAACTTTGTCCTTATTTTCTAAACAAAATGATATACATTCTTCTTATTGTTATTAATAAAGATGAGAGATATATCGTGTAATAGTCTTATTCTACTCCTAACATTTTTGTGAAATGATATTCAAACCGAAGAACAATATAAAATTATAAGCGTAATTGAATTGTCATAAAATTATGAAGCTCAAAAAAAAAAATTATAAATTTTATTTTTGCAAAAAATTCTAAAGTCCAAACATTTTTAAAATATAAATTGTATATATAATCATTGATCATGCAGTAAAACAATTTGTATAACTGAAGAAATTATTAAATTTAATGGTCATTTCTAACGGTCCATTCTTCTCTTTTGATTTCGACGTGACAAAATAAAGGGTGGTGGATGGTCACAATAAAGCGTAAATTAACACTTGTTGAAAAGAAATTTGAAAATTAATTATTTTTTGAAAATGTAATTTAGTCACGTAATTTTTGGAGAAAAAAATGGAATATACTCATTTTCTTAATTTAGCACAACGTTTGATAATTACTAATTTGACATGAACTTTCAAAACTTTCGCAATTGTCAAAATTTGAGAGAACTCTTTTTCTCAACGCTTATAGTCGGCCAATGATTGGTGGCAAAATGGCAATTTCAAAATCAATTTTTTGCGTGTTACAATGCCAAAATGTTATAATTGACAATATTTCTTAAATAGTGCAAATGATATTTTTTTTATTTTGAAGAAAAATTAATATAAATATCATTTATAGGTCCATTATAAGAGATGTAGAAATAACAATTCTTTCTAAATTTGACATTATTATAATTTGCCATATAAAATAGCACTATTAATGATAAATTTAAAATAATTATTGATAAATTTAGCTTATCAAATGCTAACCAATGCCCTGGCTACTTGTTAATTTTCAAATGTGACCCCAAAAAAATGTTTTGAAAAAGTGTAAAAATATTTTAAAATTCATTAAAAAATATTTTAAATTTAATGATATATGTTAAAAGATTAAAAAGCACTATTTTAAAATTTATAGATAAGAAAAAAGTTGCTCAATGTTAGTACAACCGCTTGTTAGTTTTAAGGAAAATATTAATTTAAAGTATAAAATTTTTTAAAAAAAATTATATTAATAGTAAATTTTGCAAACATTAGTAATTAAAATTTTATTTTTTTTTCATAAATCTGTAACTATTTTTTAAAATTGTATTTTATCCTTAGGCCTTATTTGGGAACAGGCTAATTTAGTAACTTTTTGGCTATTTGGCTAAAATATGAGTTAAAAAAAATTAGTATATTTGGGATGACCTTTTGACTTTTTACGAAAAGATGTGCAAAAAATAGAGAGAAAAGAGAATCTTTGAATTTTTTGTATGAATTATTAATTTTTTGACTAATTTAATAATTTTTTAACTTTTTAACTAAAAAGGAAAATTTTCAAACGAGGCCTTAGTTTTTGCAGCAATAAAGATGTAGTATAATGCCTTTAAATTCCAAGCATGTGCTGCATGTGATCCACGAGTCCACGTTGTCACGTGTGTCCCCAAATGGAACACAGGCTTGCAAATGAGGATTTATCTACAATTTTTACTCTTAAATTATTGTTAAATTATCTATTTAATTTTTAAACTATCAATTTAATTTATTTGATCTTTAAACTATATAAATCAAAATCTAATGGTCTTTAAACTATTGATTGAATCTATTAAGTTATTAAAATATTTAATTTAAATATATTTAATCTCTAAAAGGATTATAAAAATAGCATATATGCCAATAAGATAATAAATTAGTAAAATACCCTACTTAATTAAGATTTTATTAGAGAAAAATCTTAAAATTTTATTTTATCTTTAAAAAGTGTTTTATTTCATTGCATTTAAGGGTTGGTTTGGGATGTTCTAAAAAAATACACTTTTTGACTTATTGGCTTATATGGGTTGGGTTTGAGTTAGTTTTATGTGATGCGTTAGAGAGGTGATGTGATTTAAATAAGATCATGTGACTTAAATAAGATAGTGACTTTGTGACTTTTTAGCTTTTTTAGGTTATGCCAAACTAAGCCTAAATTAGTATTAAAGTCTGATTTCTTAGTCTTGTCAATCAAATTATATGAATATTAAATACACCGAATAAGTAAAATTAGATAATTTAAATAATAATATAACAAAATAATATATTAATTAAGTTATAAAAATAACTTAGTGAAAAATATAAAATAATCAATTATAAATTATAAAAAGAACTAACACTCACTTTTCAAAAGCAAAATAAAAATTAAAGATTTTTTTAAAATAAAACTTTAACTAAATAGGATCTTTTATTAATTTATAATACTTATGGGTTTATAATTTATTTTTGTAATCCCTTTAGGGACTAAATATATTTGAATTAAATACTTTAAGGACTTAATAGATTCAATCGATAGTTCAGGAACTAAATATATTTAAATTAAATATTTTAAGGACTTAATAGATTCAATCGATAGTTTATGAACTAAATAAACTTTGATTTATATATACTTTCAGGATATAATATGCTCAATCGATAGTCCATGAATTAAGTAGACAATTTGACAATAGTTAAGGATATGAAGTGTAATAAACCCTACAAATAATTGGCTGGGGCCTAAAAGTAAATTTATTTACAAAAAGTTATTTTGGATAATTTTAACTCTTACCACAGCACCAAAAAAAAAAAAACATTTATCACTCTAAAAAACTTAATAAAAAAGTTTTTAAAAAAAATTAGGATTGTGTTAAATAAATTAACCTTTTAGCATTAACATTTTTATAAACTTAATTGTAGTTAGAAAGTCAGTTTTTTGAAGAAAACCTTAATTATCTATTTACGATAGTAAAAAAATGTCACATTTTTTTTTTTCTAAAATTTTGGTTTTATGGTAATTTTTGTAAT